CATGCCTTCACAGATAATTTGAAATCAAGTACGTAATAACAGATAAAAAAGTTAGTGGATTTTATGTTAACCAAGAAAAGTTTAAGAATCCCAAGAAACCTTGTAAGGAGAAAATGATCATTTTTTAATTGCTTGTCACTCAAAAATATTTTAAAAACAAAAAACTTTTGAGAACCTATTAAGATGAAGCTAATGCAATGTTAACATCTTTTTCAAAATAATAATAATAATAATAATAATTAATGAGATGAAAAATATCTTCAAAACACAAAACTTTTGAAAACCTATTCAAATGCTAATGCAATATTATCATTTTTCAAAACATAAGTACTGAGTGATTAAAAATATCTTCAAAACATGAACATTAACATCTTTTTCAAAAAAAAAAAATCACTATTCCCCTTTTTTTTTTAATTTCTACCACCTTTTTTATTTTTATTTTGAGTTATATTTTTTACTGCATGTTGTTACAAAACAGCCATGTGTTTGTTGATACGACCAAACTAATATTTTACAGTCTCGAGTGATGAAATACACTCAAATACAAAAGAAAATAATCACTGTAATAGATAAACAAAATTTTACACACAAACAAGGATTGCATTGAATCAAACACCCTATAAAGCTTGGAATGGAAGGAGACCTTCGGTAAGCCATAACTTGATGATCAATCAACAAAATTTATTTTTATTGGTTATTGTTCTCAATATAAAGCATATAGGCTATATAATCATGTAAGTGGCAAAGTGATTGTTAGTAGGAATGTTGTTTTCAATGAAGAAGCAAGCTAGAGTTGTCATGAGAACTCAAATCTTGTTCAATTTGAGCTTCCAATCGAAAATGAAGTTCTATAATTTGAAATACAACAAACCTCCCGTTCCAAGTTCTTTGAGTTCATCTCTTTCATCTTCACGAAGTTCGTTTCCTTTAAGTTGAAGCCACAGAAGCTCATCTTCAGAAGAAACTCCTCTTAAAAAATTCTGATCGTTGAAGGAGATTTATGAGGCTACACAAGCCTTATTTGTAGTTGATCGAGCAACATTTGAAGAAGTAGCAGAGAAACAAGAATGACACAATGCCATGAAAGAAGAAATTGCAGTAATTCAAAGAAATGAAACTTGGGAGTTGATGGATCTGTCAGATGGTAAGAATGCAATTGTCTTAAAATGGGTGTTCAAAACAAAGTATCATACAGATGGAAGCATACAGAAATGCAAGGCTCAGCTGGTAGTAAAAGGTTATTCACAATAGCCAGGTATCAATTTCGAAGAAACATTTTCTCCTGTTGCTCGATTTGACATAGTGAGAACCATTTGGCCATTGGCTACATAACTATAATGGCCTGTGTATTAGTTTGATGTTAAATCATCTTTTTCAAATGAGGATTTGCAAGAGGAGGTATATGTTATTCAGCCGCAAGGATTCATAGTTGAAGGCAAAGAAAAGAAAGTGTACAAGCTGCGAAAAGCACTAGACGGGTTGAAGTAGGATCCACAAGCATGGTACAGCAAAATAGACTCTTTCTTTCATGCTAATGGCTTTGAATAAAGCAAGAATGAACCCAATCTTTATTTGAAGAAACAAGGTAAAAATGAACTTCTCATTATTTGCCTTTATGTGGATTATATGATTTATATGGGTTCTTCTCCTTCTCTTATTAATGGATTCAAAGTTTGCATGAAGAAAAAGTTTGAAATGTTAGATTTAGGTATGCTGCACTATTTTTTTAGGCTTGAAGTGAAGCAAGTTGAAGATGGAATCTTTGTGACACAAAGAAAGTACGTCACTAATTTACTGATAAGGTTTAACATGTTGAATTGCAAAATTTTAGCTACACCTATGAATTTGAATGAAAAGTTGCAAGCTAATGATGTTACTGAACAAGCAGATTTAAGACATTTTAGAAGTTTAGTTGGAGGTTTCTTAGTTGGAATTATTTCCAGATTTATGCATTTTCCTTCGAACCATCATCTTGGAGCTGCAAAAAGAGTGTTGCGATATATTACTAGAAAATTGATTTTAGGCTATGGTATGGTCATGTTTCAAAGTTCAAATGGTTTGGTTATACTGACAACTATTGGACTAGATGATTGGAGGATAGAAGGAGCACTTCGGGTTATGTTTTTAATCTTAGATCAGCTGCCGCCTGCCATATGTTGGAGTTCAAAGAAGCAAGCAACAACAGCCTTGTCTTCATTTGAACTATAACTTCATTAGCATGTCAAGTAATCTGGTACTGATGAATTCTTACAGGCATCAGTTAAGAACAAAACAGAAGCAACAGAAATTTATTGCAACAACAAAGCGGCAATTGCAATGACAAAAAAACCCAGCCTATCATGGAAGAACAAAGCATATTGACATTCGAGTTCATTTTATTCAAGATCTCGTGTCTGATGAATCAATCATTTTGAAGTATTGCAGTACAAATAAGCAGATTGCTGATATTCTAACAAAATCACTTCCTCGAGACAATCATGACTACTTCAGGCTCCATCTTGGTGTTGGCAATTTTGAATCAAGGGGGAGTGTTGGAGAATGATCCCAATTTGGCAACTGTATCTATCAGCTATTTGACTAAGTCTTTTGCAGGCTAATTTAGTTATTTTCTTTTAGGCTGCCAGATGGATACGTAAGAAACTTCTTGCCATAATCAAATGGTTTGATTTTGACTAATTGTTTGAATTCACAATATAACCATTTTGATTGACACCTTGTTGTCGGCTTTCCAAATACATGTTTTATCATAATGGCCAATATATATATAAGGAGAGGAAAACAGACTACAACTTCAGCACTCAATCTTTGATTTTGATCTTGCGTGAATGCCTAGCTTTTTATTTTACTTATATATATATATACAAGGAGAGGAAAAAAGACTACAACTTCAGCACTCAATCTGTGATTTTTATCTTGTGTGAATGCCTAACTTTTTATTTTACTTATTTGAATGATCAATTTTTTATTTTTTATTATTTGATTGTATTCCATCATATAAAATTGTTAAATGTTGAGGTGACCGATATCAGTTGATCTATATTGGCATGTGATAAAAATAAGTCTTATTCAAAATTAGAGAAAAGTGCAACTTTAATGCTCATTTATTTATTCATTTATTTTTGAATGCCTAACTTTTTATTTTTATCCATTTGAGTGTATTTATCACTTGAAACTATTAAATATTGATGTAGCGAGTATTAACTAACATGTGATCTTTTTGTTCAAACATGTAATAAAAAAATAAGACCCATTCAAAATTGTTGAGAACTTGGTTTTGTACTCACTAAATATGCCTATCATCTGTGGCACCTCTTTGTGGTGGTAGATCAAAGTAATTTTGGTCAAAAAACAGATTGAATATTTTAAATTTTTTTAGAAATAGATATGATGTAATTAGAAATTTAAAAATATATAAAAGACTTTAAGTATTATAAAAGAATAGATGTATATGTTTAACCTAAATATATATATATATATATATATATTGTCGTTACTCAACATCGGACGAAACTCCCAAAATATTTAAGATTTTTATTTACAAAGTTATTTACAAGTTTTGAGTCGTCAATTAATATTAAAGGAACTAGGAACTTAAAATGGATACTAATGCAAAAATTCTAAGACAAGGAGTTGGTTATGCTTTGGAACGATATTAATAACCCAAAGACGCCCTTCCTAACGAAAGGTATCATGTATGGTTTAATTCTCAATTTATCTCCTAGAGTCGTTTATTTGTGTCATGTTATTTCCTATTCAAACTCTAATTTCCAAGTGAAATTAAATTTTTTATTTTTTAGTGTGGTATCGTATCGAAACGATCGTTAGACTCCTTTGTCGGGAGACATGTCGGTTCAAACATCGGATTCACTTTGAGCCTCAACACAATCGGTATGTCACAGAATATCCTAATTATTAAAAATGATTATTATTATTATTGCTAGCAATAGTTCCTATCGAGATAAGAGATTTTGTTAAAGACTTTATGATTTATTTTTTAATTTTTTGGTTGGTGAAAAAAATCATCATCAGTCCCTAAAAAAAAGAGACTTGATAATTATCCACCTTTTGATTACTTAACCTAATTATGGAAATAAAAAATTATATTAATTAATTTAATTCCAAAAAAATCGAACATTAAAATCTAAACTAAATATAAAATGACAAATATACATAAAATAAACTTAAACTTAAAATTACATTAATTAAATAAAAAAATAAAAATTCGAACATTAAAATAAAAATTAATCAAAAAACATTTAAAAAATTAATTCAAGATTAAATGAAATAAAACCAAGGTTTTTTTTTTCGGGTTGGGTTTGGGATCGGCTGGAATTCCAGCCTATTTTTGAAGAAAAATTTCGGACTAGGCTGGACTGAACTCAGTCCAGCCCACTTACAATACGTTAATGACCTAAACCCAAAAACACAACCCATTACTAGTTTTTTTAAAAAACAAAATTGGATTTATACATTTTTTTCACTTTTCTCCCTTCTCTCACCCGATTACTCTGTCCCCTTCTCTTTCTTTCTCTCTCTCTTTTTTTTTTCTTTTTCTTCTTCTCCTTTCTCTATCTGCCCAGACACCATGGACGAATCAGAGTTGCTTCGCCCCTCCTTTTCTTCCTCTCCCCTTTCTTTTTCTTTCCTTTCCTTCTTTTCTTCTCTTCCTCCTTTCCCGAATGTCCATCGTTCTCCTCCTCCTCCTCTTCTTCGTGATTTCCATGGTTTCTGGTTTTCTTTTTTTCTTACCCGAAAATTTTCCCCAAAATTTGGCCGAAACCCGAAGTTTCCATTTTTCGATTTTTTTTTCTTTTCCTTTCAATTGGCCAATCGGACTTGATTTCCATTCCCTAACACCAATTTCAATTCAAACGCAAAAATCTCCAAATTCAAAACTCTAACTGCCAAGAACCACGCTGATACGAAATTAGGACAACTTAATTGAAAAAAGAGAATTCTTTTTCTGCACAGTTTGCTTTAAGTTCCAAGACCTTTTTTAGATGTATAAATTAGAACGATGGTTACATGCCATGATCAAAGAAGCTGCTTGCCTTGCCAAATGCTTGTGTGTTTATAGGGGCTTTGGTTTTTCAATTGAGGTGGACAAGTCCTTGCCGGATCATGTTATGGGTGATGAAAGGAGGGTCTTTCAGGTGATTTTGCATATGGTAGGGAACCTACTTGATCGCAACAATGGAGGAGGGTCTGCAGTGCTTCGGGTTTTCTCTGAGAATGGAAGTCAGGAGAGGAGTGATCAGAGATGGACAACCAGGAGACAAAGCTTGTCTGATGGGGATGTATATATCAGATTCGAAATTGCAATAAACAATAGTGGTTCTGAATCAGAGGGCTCAACCTCAATGTCACAACTCAGTGGTAAGAGGTATGCTAGTGATGGAGTTGAGGAGGGCTTGAGCTTCAGCATTTGCAAAAAGCTGGTCCATGTAAGAATCATAACCTTTGTATGTATAAATGCACTCATGTAGCTATCCTTTTTTCAATACTATGACCTGAAATACTTGACATTACTGATACTGGTACTAAACTTATGCTTGAAATCAATTGCGAGCACAACCTTTATGCCTCATCATTAGGACCTTCATTTCTGTGTCCAAGGTGCATTATGTCAGTGAAGATGATTAAGATATCTGCATGGTTACAGATATTGTGCATCATTAGCAGCTTCTTTGATCATGGCATGTAACCATTGAAGAACCACGCTGATACGAAATTAGGACAACTTAATTGAAAAAAGAGAATGTCCATCGTTCTCCTCCTCCTTCTCTTCTTCGTGATTTCCATGGTTTCTGGTTTTTTTTTTTTTTGTTTTACCCTAAAATTTTCCCCAAAATTTGGCCGAAACCCGAAGTTTCCATTTTTTGATTTTTTTTTTCTTTCAATTGGCCAATCGGACTTGATTTCCATTCCCTAACACCAATTTCAATTCAAACGCAAAAATCCCCAAATTCAAAACTCTAACCGTCAAGAACCACTGTGATACGAAATTAGGACAACTTAATTGAAAAGGAGAATTCTTTTTCTGCACAGTTTGCTTTAAGCTCTAAGACCTGTTTTATATACGTATTATGTTATATTATATACAAAGACTTTAACAATATTTAATATAATACAAAAATAAAAATTATATTACACAGCTGGTCTATCACTAATTTTTATAAAAATGAAATTCGTGGGCCGCTTGTATAAAAAGATGATCTATTTATAAATCTATTTATAAGTAAATTATATAAATTACTCCCTCTAGTTATTTAAAATAAATTAAATAATTCTTCTAGTTTCAAAAATTAATCATTAGTCCTTCTATTTTTAAATCTATTTGTAACTTCATCATTTTTCTTCTTTTTCAATTTATTTGACTTTTTATTTTAAGAAATATAAAAAATTAAAAAATATGTAAAAAAAAATATGAAATGATTAATTGAAGAAATATATATATATATATAGATTTTTGGTGGAAATCGAATAAATTTTTTAAAAAATTGAATTGAAACTGAAAAAAAAATTAGATTAGTTTGGTTTCATAAAAGCATATTGAAAAAATAAAAACCGATAAAAACTAAATCAAAATCTCCAATTCAATTTGTTTTTTCGATTTAAACTAAGTAGTGCTACCTCCAGACTATATGTCTCATAGAGATCATGAAACAAATACTAGTTTAGTTTTTGTTAAAAATTTACCCAAATCTTATGGAAAGAACTAAATTAAAAAAAAAAAAAAAATCTAGAATAAAAATACCAAATAAATAAATAAAAAGTAAAAGATCATCTTAAGAAAAATATCAAGAAAAATATATAGTCCCACTTAATAAAACATGAGACCTCTTTCATTTATTTCATCTTTTTACACATGCTCTTTTAGTTTGTTTAGCTGATAATTAACTATATCCATTATCTTTATTTCATCTAGCTGACTTTGAGGCGTGCTTTCATTCCTAATAGGTGGCATAGATTCAGATTTTAGAAGGATGAAAAGGGATTTAAATATAATTATCACAATGTAAAACCAGATTAGCTAATTAAACATTGGGTTTTATCCTGAATTGGTTCTGTATTTTTATTTCTTTTTAGCTGAAACTACCTATTATTTTTTGTATTGATTAAGTTTCTATACTACTTGCTTTATTATGTAAAGGTCTTTTTTTCATACCGTCGTTAATTTGTACATCTGCGTAACAAAAGTCACTCATAATAACTCTTTCGTTTATGAAATTATGTAACAACAAAAAAAAAAAAACACTTGAAATTTCATTTATTTTGATTAATTAAGTTCTTTTAATTTATTTATTTTATTTTAATAATTTAAATTTCACCTTAAATGATAACATTTTAAAAATAAAAGAGTTATGAGTTATCAAGCATTCAACTTAATACTCTCATACAAACACTATACCAAAGAAAGACATTATAGACGATTTTTTTTTTTCTCATAGAGGTAGTTATAATCACCACTATAAAATTTAGAGCTATGGATTGCTTCAAAACCATCCGTAATGCTATCATCTTTACACTGTAGAGGCAATTCTTACACCATCAAAGAATTGTGATGCGGTTTTCTTGAGGCGACTAGAACCGCCTCAAATTGATTTTTTGATGCAATTATGAGTTATCAAGCATTCAACTTAATACTCTCATACAAACACTATACCAATAAAAGACATTGCGGACGATTGTTTTTTTCCCCCTTATAAAGGTAGTTATAATCACCACTACAAAATTTAGGGCTATGGATCGCTTCAAAACCGTCCGCAATGTCGCCATCTCTATAAAATTTAATGCGAAATGTTTGCAGCCGTCTCAAATTTTAGAATTTATAGAGCTAGATTTCGCCTTCAAATTCAATTATTTACTCCATTTTGTTGGTCAAAGAATAAATAAATTAGAAAAAGTTACATCATGTTGAATGCAAATAAAAGAAAAATTATATAACTTACACAATATTCTTAAATTTATAATTATCAAATTCTAAATACATAAAAAGTCTTCAAACATCCACAAGAAAAAAAAACTAAAAGATTAAAACAGATGTTCAATATACATAAACAAAGTTTCTAATATGTGTGTCCAACAAAATATAATATAAAAATATAAAAACTCAACTGAAAAGCTACAGTTCATTGAGAGTAAAGTTTGTAATCGTTTAATGAAATCAATAGATAACAAACTAAAAATCTGCTCCGGATACTTCATTGCATGTAGTCACCAAACTCCAAAATGCAATATCAAACATTGAATGGACTAACGAGCAGTCTTATAGCTTGGATTAACCAATTTATCTAAACTAAAAACCACTTGAATGGACTCTGCGACGTCGCCAACCTTGACTTCCAGTAAATAATCGTCATTTTCAGTAACATAATTAAAGACAGCATATCGACCATCCAATATAAAATAGAATATGAATGAATGTACATATATGCCACGTCATAGTAGCAATGGCTTGAATGTACAACTAATTATCAATACAAATCTTTTTGACCTGGATCAATAAAATATCTTCAATTCACTTCTTCTGTTAATTAGAGTTAAGTTTGGATTCCATTATTATGGAATGTAAATTACATAGAAGGCTTTTGCATGTATACCAAGTTAGAACAAAAAAAGCATTGATGTTCATGTTTATTTATAATGATAGTTTACAAAGACACAACATTTAAAGGCAAAACAAAATTGTTTGTGCTATAGACTCGCGATTCAATAGATTAACTTTTATATTGAAATTGATATGTTTGCATGGCGAGAAATCAGTGCCATACAATTTTATTATTGGAACAAATAAGTAAATCAAAAATCGGTGCACAAACCTAGGCAACCACTGTGCACATTATTAACTTAATCTTTAAGTACAATATAAACTACTTGACATACTCCTGTTTTCTTAGGACTTTTTCTATATCGATCCAACGTGGTGGAATGCTTTGTTGATGCTTGAAGAAATTATCTGGATCTACCTGCCCCTTGATTTTCACCAATCTTGGGAAGTTGCCCTTGAAGTACTTGAGGCCATACACTTTAGCTTTCTCGAAGTAGGTTTGATTGCTAGGGTTGCTACCAATATCAAGATCTCTATAGTTTTGAAATGCCTCCCGTGGGTGCTTGGTGACATATGGAGCCATTGCATCATGCATTTCTCTTATCAACCTTATATATCGGTCGGTGGCCTCAGTTCCTTCTTCATTCCAGTTAATGGAGTACTGGAGTTTAAATAGGTAGCCGGCTCGGTGAGGATATGGAGTTGCGGTGTCGGGAATCTCACTCATTCTTCCTCCATAAGGGTTCCATTGCATCCACATTGGCTCAGCCTTGATCATCATCTTCCATATGCGTTCCAAAGCTTCCTTTGGAACAATGCGATTCACGTAATCAGATTTGTTCTTGTAAAAGCTTTGCGCTCCGCGAGGTCTATTGAGTAAAACGTCGATGGATGTGCCGTTTGGCAAATCATTCCAAAAAAGTGTGGACTCTATCCATCTCATTTCAATACAGTCTTTTTGCTGCAAACCCAATTTAGGGAAGCTCTTGTTCATCATGGAAAGAAGTGCCTCACTTTCTCCTAGAAAGAAAGCATAGAAAGAGATACTGATTGTCTTAGTACCCTCTTGGCTTCCATTGGCAACTTGTGGCATTGCTCTGATGAAAAGATCTTTGTCTAGCTTAGTAGAAACTTGTTGCCACTGATAAAAAATATCAGTCGCACCTTCCTCCAAAGTCCTATCAACCTTGAAAACAGTCACTTTAGCTGGAACTCGAACCAAGTTCATCTTCCAAGAAAGAACGACTCCGAAGCTTGCTCCACCTCCACCTCGGATGGCCCAAAATAGATCTTCCCCCATTGTCTTCCTATCAAGTATTTTACCATTGACATCTACTACTTTGGCATCAATGATATTATCCACAGAAAGACCATATTTCCTCATCAAAGTCCCGTACCCCCTCCGCTAATATGACCACCTGCACCAAGTGTAGGGCAAACACCAGCCGGAAAGGCATGCACGTTACTCTTGTTTGCAATATTGTAGTAAATTTCACCAAGAGTTGCGCCAGCTTGAACCCATGCTGTCTCGCTTGCAACATCTATGTCGATGGATCGGAGATTGAACATGTCGAGGATGACGAATGGGACCTCAGATACATAAGAAAGACCCTCGTAATCATGTCCACCGCTCCGAATTCTTATCTGCAAGCCATGAGACTTTGCACAAACGACTGTTGCTTGGACATGGGATTCATGCAGGGCCGTAACGATTGCAACTGGTTTCGGTGTTGTTGGGGTCAAAAATCTGCGGTTATTGATATATGTCTCCAAAACAGACTCGAAAGACGAATTCGCAGTGGTATAGATGGCTTTGGAGATGGGGTAAGAGGGAAGACTATTATTAGGAAGGCATTGTTGAAATCTGTCAAGATTTGAATCAGAAGCTGCCAATGATACTGACAACAAAAGAACCGACAATACTGAGAAAACTATAGACATTGAGACCTTCATTTTAAGGATATACTTCAATGCCAGGCGTTGCTATACGTTGAATTCATGGCTGTATTTATAGATGTAATGGAAGGGAGAGAGCCAAGATGTTTTTTTGGGGCAAGTAACCCTAACCATATTTTGTCAAATTTAATTAATGCACTCTTCCCATTTCAAAAATCTAAATTAAATTTCTCTTGCTAGACCGACATCCATGGAATATTTCTATATCTAGTAAGAGCATTTCCAATGCTCTATTTATATTAAGATTTTTCTTTATAATAAAGAGGCTTGATCCAAATTTTATCTCCAATGCTCTCTTTATCTCAATCTCTATCTTTAAAATTGATATAAAGAGTGTATTTGGCTCTCCAATACTAGAGAGTCCAAATGACTCTTTATCTTATATTTAATTAACAAAAATTATTATTTCTTATGTCACTCAACCTCTTCACCAATAGATTCTCTAGGTTTTATAGATTTTATCAAAATAAAGAGTTAAATAGAGAGTAGCATTAGAGAGGATTACAATGTTAAATTGCCTTTAAAACGCGGGGGGTAATAATTTGATGGTTAAGGAGGTTTGTTTCATTTCTTAATTTCATGTTTTCAAATCTTGGAGTCGACACCTACATAAATTTATTAACTTTTTTTAATGTACCAAGCCGATGCAGAGGTACTTTTCCAAAATTATACATAAAAGGATTTAATTTTTGTCTAAAAATCATCTCAAACTTAAAATTTTAAACTATTGAGTGAGACGTTAACAATAATTTTATATTACACTTTAATATATTTCTTGAAGTAAAAAAACTTTTGAGTTTAAAGTTTGTTAAAAAGCATCTTAATTTAAAAATTTAAAGAGTTGGATAAGACTTCAAAAATAGTTTATATCACTTTTAATAATTACGTATGATTGATGTAAAAATTGATATGAAAATACTCTTATCATCTAGAAAAAAAAATCTCAATAATATAATTTAGTATGCTTCCAATCATGTACACCTTAGATTAAATTTCATAATGTGCTCTCCAAATTGATTATGTCATGCATGAGTAATGGATTGATGATAGATCACATGTCCAAGTTCTAGATTTGATTATATTTTGCTAACGAAGAAAAGGAAGGAAGAAACTGGAAACTGTGATGGCTTGATTTTTCCCCACCTTTGTCGTGCATGAGTGGAATGCTTATCCATATAGCATACGTACGTTGGAATGAACAATGCCAATTTCATCTGTTTTTGGCAAGTTTCTTGCAAGGAGTGACTATTGTAATAACAATTTTGGCTAGAAACAGTGTGCCGGCTCTATACATGTATAGTTCAAGGGCAAACCTTAAATTAGTCCCACATCTATATATAGTTTCTCGATTGAGTCATCCAACTATCAATTTTATCCATTGGGCCCTCAATCTATGCACCTTTCCTTAATCAAATTCTTTCTTTTTTTTCTAACCCTAATTTTCCCAAGTTTTAGAAGTGCAAATACTCAATTATTCCTCAATTCAACAAACACAAAAACACGTGTGATTATTATAAACTTGCTTCAGTTGTACTGTGATGTCATAATTTATCTTAAATTGTAAGCTATAATTTGGTGTTTTTTGCACATAAGATTTGGAGAAATTACGTTCAATTAGAAAACATGTGCATGTTTATAGAAGATTTGATTAAGAAAAAGAAATATTCATGGGGAGCCAAATGGATAAAATCTATAGTTGGGGATTAAAATGAGAAGCTCAACACATTTGCAGGAGACTAATATTAGGTTTGCCAACAGTTGAATGACTAATATTGATTTTTCCACGATCAATATTTTCAATTGTGCACATGCACCTTGGATCAAAATCCAAAATATCTTTTCAATTTTGAGAACAATAAGGCTGAATAACAGTTGGTCAAACGGTACAAAATTTTCTTAAATTTTAGATCATTTTATAATTATTTTTTCAATTTTTAATTTTGAGTTAAATCTATCTGTATTTATTTTTCATTCGAAAAAAGTTTTTTCTATTAGTTTTTTTTTTATCAATTTTAAAAGTACAAATATAATTTTTCCAATAATTATAATTATCTATAAATTTCGATAAATTTTTAAATAACAAAAAAGATTTAAAAAAATCAATTATGTATAACTCACGTAAATATATATACCGCTAGAATGAACAAAAACCTAATTAAGAGATTCAATTTTAAATAAAAAATATAATCATACAGATATCATATTCAATGATTAGTAACTGATTTAAATTTCAGAAAAGATTTGGACTATTAAACCATAATAAGTAAAAATCACGTAAATATAAGTCTTTTCTCATGCAAGTGTCATTGTCAATAAAGAAAAAGAGATTTTATTAATTTTTAGGCTGCTAGGTGGAACCACATGAAACGGTTTGATTTTGACTAATTGTTCCAATTTACAATATAACCATTTTGATAGAAACATTGTTGTCCGTTTTCCACAGGTCTGTTATTATGACATCACAAAGACCCAATTTTTCTTTAAAGAAAAAACAAACAGTGAAAAAAAAAAAAAAGAATATTACTTCTTGCCAAACTTTGATTTTTATTCTGTTTGAATGCTTTATCTGTCATTTTACTTATTTAAGTGATCAACTTTGTTTTTTTCTTTCTATTTCAGTGTATTCCATCTGCTTAGACTATTAAATGCAACGTACGTGACTGAAATCAATTGATACATGAAGGCTCTGTACTAGCATGTGTCAAAACATAGATCTCACTAGGCAAAAAAAAAATACAAATTCAGTGCCTCACTAGGGAAAATACATCTGCCCTGGTAAAGAAAGGAGCATTTTGAACTTTCAATTGCGTGCAGCAGCAAAAATAATCCACAGTGAATGAAATGAAATGACTAGCAAAGTGTGAATGTACTTCGTCAAGCCACGAGGTTAGTAAAGGTTAGGCAGTGAAATTGCAGTTTCTCAAGGAAAAAAGAAGAGTGACGTTATGACATACTATGATATTAGGGATGATAATGGATCGGATATAAAATAAATATCATATCCAGTCCATTCATTAATTACTCTTTTAAGATATTCTAATAGATAATATGTTAAATATAAATAAAATGGTGTTACCCAGTTAATTAATGGACAATTTATTCATAATACGGATACTCTCTTTTTATTTTATTCATATTCATCTTTTATCCATTAACATATAAAAAAAATACTAAAACATAAAATTTTAAAATAAACAAAAGAAATGAGCAATATCTCTTATTGATGAGTCAAAAGCATAGTATGTGTGTACGTGCGTGCATGTGTGCGTGGGTGGAAGGGTTGTATTTTTATTTTTTTTACAAATTATAAAAGAGTTAGAGAACCCATCATATTTGTTGCCATTTGTACTCCATCAAAATCCTCTCAAGTCCATGAACCAACTAAAGTCTCACCATTAATTTCAAAATCTTGGTCTAGGGATTAAAAAAGTCTACTGAATTTTTTAACTTTCTTAATTCAAATCTTGGAGTCAAGCATGGAGGAGAATTTATTAAATTCTTCTTAATGAAATAAGTCAAAATAGAAACGCACTTTTAAGACAAAATGAAATAAGAAGGGTTTAATTGGTTTATTGACGCTCAAGTTCGTCTTCTTGATTGAAGCTCAAATTTGTACAAGATTATCTTTACTATCAAATACAATTTTTTTTAATATATTAAATAAACTTTAATTAAAATTATTTTAAAACTCAAAAAAAATCTTCAATTAAAGGGGGGAAAAAAATAGCAAGTACGAACAAGATATGATATAATAGATATAGACTGAGTAAAAAAATGGACTGAGTGATTTTTAATAAGTAATAAGCAAGATAACGAGTATAGTATTTTCTAATGGATAGAGTATGAGATTGACTTAATGGATCAAGTACCCAGCCCATTGCCATTCCTATACTACATGATCACATCTCACATCTGGCATGGAAAAAAAAAAAAAGGAGCATTATGATTTTTCAACTGCATGCAGCAGAAGAAATGATCCATAGTAAATGAAATGACTAAAACATTGTGAATGTACTTTGTCAAACAACAAGACTTGGCAATATACCACTACTTAGATTTGAGCTCTACATCAAAAACATACTTTCCAGTTCAGTTGTATATTTCTTAGCTTATGGAAGGTTTTGCGGAATCCGAAAAACAACTGTGACAAAAGTGAAGCAATAGCATTCACCTTGTTAACTAAAACCAAAAACAACAAAACATCAAGCAACTGACTGAATCGCTCTTTCAAAGTTGTCTTCTGCAGATGATGAACGTTTAACTAGTATGTGGTCTGGATGCGAAAGCTTCAGTTGGCTGCAGAACATGAGGCAAACATTAATTAATATGATTTTACAAGAGATTCTCGTGATGGATCTTGGAGAAAAATTAAACAGAAGAAAAACTTTGAAATACTCATAAACCATATGATAATGGAAACATGGCAAACCCAGTTGAAGCTAGAAATTTCAAGCCACCAAGATAAACAGGAATCTTATTATGGTTCAATAAAAGCTGAAATCCAATTTATGCAGCGATGGAACATTTTGTTTTTCCTCCTTACATATCAAAAATCATATGCAAAATTGGGTAAAGTTGGTTATAGAAAATATGAAAGCAGTTCCAAAAGGTGCAAAGGCAATTGGGGTGAGCACTGGCTAATTAATTTTGAAAAAACTGCACACTTCTTGTAGCTGAATGTAAGAAGCCATGGGTCTATACCTTTTTACTTGAGAAAGAAGAAAAGGCAAGCATCATTGAAAGAAAAAACCACACAGCATGCCCAATGTTGTCCCAGCAGTTAATTGAAAGAAGCATTGAAACTGCTTTGATACTGATTTTCATTTATTTTTATACCCTTTAGGGTTAATACCCACCACCCCCCACACCACAACATGCTCCCTTTTTGTTTCAAGTGAATGAAAATATAAGAACGCATTTCCTAGCTAGTGCTTGGTAACAGTTACCACAAGTAACAACAAGGTAAACTCAAAAACATTTGTTTAAATGCCTAAGTTCCTAACACCATTGTCTTATGCTGGCCTTACAAAAGTACAAGCATGTTAATGAACTTTCTAGCTGGCCCTATTTTCAATACGTAATTTAATTTCTTGTTTGGCCAAAGCATTTAGGACAAAGTGATTTAGCTCATAGAAGAATTCATTTTAATCACACACAAAGTACAAAATGATGTTAAAATTGAGCATGCAAAAGATAGTTAACCTGAGATAACGTGAAGAAGATTTGCCCATGTGAAGACTGCATACAACCAGATTAGCTAGAGTCTCTGGATCTTTTGCATCCTGTCACAGGTACCAAGGAAAATCCAAGTCAGCTATATGAATCACACTGCAGTCATGTATTAGTACATCGTTTCTTAAACAGAGTCAATGTCGGCAGTGTTACAGACAAACAGAACAGTTGCCAGTCATGATCTCAGCAGAAGTTAAAAGTTCAATGTTTTAATCTTGCCTTGTTTAGTGCTTCAAGCAACAGTGTTTCAGCTTCATCAAAATTACCCATGTGCAGGCAACAAACAGCCTTCCCATTCAAGATTAACCCTGTCATTGGATACTTCTCAGAGAAATCTTGGAAGATGAGATATGCTTCCTGTATCTTTGAACCACCCTGTTTTATACAGCAATATAAATACATCATCATTCCTTAAAACCTAACTACTCATAACCAAATAGAGACAGTGCACTTACAACCGCCAGATTCAACCATGCACTTGCAAGTTGAGTTAGTGTGTGGTCCTCATCAATCTGTTGCATGATCCTCAACTGTCTCTCTGCAAAGTCTGACCTGTGCATCTTGAGGAATATTTGAACATTCAATGCATGCCTGCAAATGGAGAAATTTGCATCAGGATAAAAAACTGATCAAAGTAAACTCAACATGAAAGTTTGTTTATCTCAGTCACTTATGCATCCAGATGAGGCAATTTATGGTTCTAATTCTGATAATAGTCTAGCCCATAATCTGCATCGTGTCCATCCAAAAGTACCTCAAGTTATGTTTGGTAGGAGGTTAATGGGGGGTTAAAATCTACCCTAGTAAAATTTAAGTTTGTTTGGCATATTTTTTGGGAAAGGAGAATTATTAATGGCTCCTTTTGGAGGATCACACGAGAAAGGATTTACTCCGAACATAACAGTTCCCTAAACATCATGCTATCCTCCTCAAGTACTTCCCACACAAGTTCACTTGTCTAAATATAGTTTTAAATAGTGGCTACGAGTTGAAAAAACGATCATGATCGTAGTAGTAAAATAACGATCGCGGCAATCAATGTCTTGAATACATTAGCAATTGTTAATAAATTTATTCTAATTCACATATTTTTAACAGTTTTCCTAATTAAGCATACTAATAAGTAATAACATCTTTAATGGTTTAATATCATATAAAAATAATTGAATTTATTAGAAAATAAATTAATAGCTCTTCTAATAGAGTAATATAATAAAAAAATAATAAACTAATTATTTAATCTTTTAATTAGTGGTGACCATGTTTAATGTAATATTGTTTTATTCTACAAAATGTACAAAATGTTTTTTTTATTGATTTTTTATGATATACTTTTTATCCTTTTTTCTATTTTTCAAAATAAAAAAGAAAACTAATTAGAAAATAACATAAAATAAACAAAAAAAATGACTAAATAATTGGTTTTTGAAACAATAGGGACTAATATTGTTTTTTTCCAAACTAAAGGACGAATTTATATTTTTCTCAATTAAAACCTGCATTCAAGCAGGCCTTTGAATTTCGTGAACCCAACTTAAAATTTGGTTGAATAATAAGAAATAAATTACATATTAGTCCCTTTAGTTTTGATAAATCAATTAATTAGTCTTTTTTAAAAAATAATTATTTTATTTTTTGATGAGTGCTGACCATGTTCAATGTAATATTATTTTATTTCACAAAAAAATAAAAATAAAAATTCAATCTTTTCATGGTATAAATTTTTTTTCTATTTTTTAAAATAAAAACAAAACAAATTAGAAAATAACATAACATGGACTAAATAATTGATTTTTAAAACAAGAAGGACTAACTAATTCATTTTTCCAAACTAAAAAGACTAATTTATAATTTATTCAATTAAAGCCTGCATTCCTTCAGCAGCCTTGGAGCATGAATGTCATGTGGGTATATTTCAATCTAGTGGACAACTCTCTTTCCTCTTCTAGCTGTCTCTCTCTGGTTCACATCCTCTTTCTCTTTCTCTCTCTCTCTCTACTCTGCATCCTTTTTCTTCATCTGTCTCTCTCTCTTTCTCTCTCTCTCTCTCTCTGTGCTCTTCTGCTCCTCTTCAATTTACATCCTCCTCCCTTTTTTTCTCTCTTTGATTCTCAACCAGGCTTTCCTTTCTTCATCCTCCTTTCTCTCTCTAATTCTCAACCAAGCTTTTCTATAAGTCCCATTTGTTCTTCTTTCTTGGTTTTTTTTCACATTTTTTGCGTTGGTGATTAATTAGGGCAGAATTTTGAATTTTTCTTAATGTACAACTCCGTTATATAACTGCGTTATATTACAGTAACACTGTTATTTGCCGTTATACTTGTGAAACAGCATTGAAGCACATGTAACTCCAAATAATGGAAACGGGGTGCTCCATCACCGTTATATAACATCCATTATTTAAAAACTGTGTCTAAAGCATGTGAAAAAATTCCCATCATTTTGGTCAATAGCAATTTTCATCCAACTCAAACATGAAATAAAATCAAATAAACAACCATAAAAAAAAATAATAAAAAAAAAAAACGTGAAAATAACTCCTACAACACTACACATGTGTGTACATTTAAAAAATAAATAAATAAAAGACCTGCAGAAAAGCTAAGCATTCTAAATATAGGGAGGCAAGCATCCATAATAACATAATATGCTAAAGAAAGTTAGATCAAATTGAACTCACAGATCCATAGTGCCTCCAGCATTGCTGTGTTTCAGGGCCTCATTGTAATCTTCCTCATGCATGAATATGGTTCCAGCAATCAACCTCAAGATAGCATTATTTGCAATAGCTGAATCAGCCAACCACTCTTTCAAGCTTGAAATTGTGGATTCCTGTTTAATTTACAATAAACAATTTACGTTACAGGCAATCAAAAAGCCATATCATTAAAACAATGCTTTGCGTTCTACATTTCTGGACATGCAAACAAGCAGGCATGCACAGGAGCACAGAAATCAACATATAAGAATACACGTTGTACTAAAGGAGTGTAAGATCCACACTGCATTTGGCATGGCAAATTTTGATTTACATTTTCTCAAAACCACAGATCTACTGACTTAGAAAATCAACCACCCATTCTCAAATTCCTTGCGTGTATTTAGGTTCTTTCTAAATCACTCAAAACTCAAACCAAAATCCCATTTTTCACACACTAATTAGCAACTCTCAAATATGCATAGCAAATCTGGTTTTTCTTTCTTCCATTTTACATTACAAGCACCAAGAATCCCCAGATGATTAAAACATAGCTGCCATTCTAATTTCAACATGTGCCAACAAAGTACGAAGACACCCAAACACAAAACCACACAAGAATCAAGATATAAGAGTATACATTGAACTAACACAAGGGTGACATTCACACTGCATCTGGCATGTAAATTTTACTAGTTGTTTCTTTCATTCTTTAAAATGCACAGGTCTAAGGACTTGAAAAATCGAGCATCCGCTCTCAAATTACTTGCACAGATTCAGTTTCTTATCGGATCACTCAAAACCCCACCCTAACCCCTTTTGCACACACTAATTAGCAACTCTCAAATAAACACCCAACAATAACAACCAGAACCAAACTAAGCAGAGCAAAGAAAAACCAGATCGTGCGATCCAAACCGGATTCACCAAAACCTAAAAACGTATTACACTTTTACTTAAACCCAATTCCCATATAAAACACTACAATTCCCTAAAAACAAGAACATTTTCTTAACCAAAATCCTCCAAATCAAAAAAGATCTCATTCACCATAAAAAACAAATCGATAATGCGAGAATCTTAAAACATCACAAAATCAAAAAAAAAAAAAAAAAAAACAAAGATCTAACAAATGGCACCTTGTTTTCAGGGCTAGAGAGATACAAAGCGAGCAATTTGACAGCTTGAAGTGGAGTAGCAGCAGAATCATCAATCTCATGAATCACAAGCTGTACACAACCAAACAAAAAAAAATATATAACTTTCCTCAGCAAAAATCAAAAACCCAGATCGAAATCGAAAAAGATAAAGAATTTCCAACCTGATAGCTACCAAGGGCAATGTAAGAACGATAAACAAGTGAGTCACGCTCCAAAGCGTCATCTGGGGAAAGATTAGGAAGGTCGCTGGTGTTGATGGCAGCTTGATAGGCTCCTAAGTAGAAGTTGTTACGCAAATTGAACAGATGATCTGGTGCTCCTGCCATTGCTTCTTCTTCTTCTTTGGATTTCTAGCAGTAACTGACTTGTGATTTCTGGTAGATCTGGACGAAAAGTTTTGAGGGTGTTTTTTGGTTTTTGATCTTTATATATTAACCAAGCAAAACAGAAAATCTATGAGTAAATTATAAATTAGTCCTTTTAGTTTTACAAAATAAATCAAATAATCCATTTAATTTTACAAATTAATTATTTAATCTCTCCACCGATATTGCTCATGATTAATTTAATATAAATTTTTTTTATATCAACCTTTCAATATTTTTTAATAACTTTTTATATTTATTAAAAAATAATAAAATGAATTGAGTCACAATTAGATTTAAAATATAAGGATTAATTAATTAATTAGTTATTAAAACTATAAAAACTATTTAGTTTCTCGAGTAAATTATAAATTAATCCCTCCCTTTTTAGGAAATAAATAAATTAGTACTTTTTGTTTTAAAAACAAATCACTAAATCTAAACGCGTTTAATCGGCTTGCAATTTAGATTGTTATTTAAAAGATAATAACATGTCGATCTCCAAGCCTTCAAAAGTTCTCCCACTTATGAGACTACAAGACATACGATATACATATATCATCTATCTATATATATATATATATATATATATGGGTCATGCCACTAATTAGGTCTAGTGCTTAAATCGATCTTGTAATGACAGGATCAGCTTCTCCATAAAAGGATCTCAATTTTTTTTCTTTTCTTTATTTATTTGTGTTTGGTGCTCAAACTGTCTACAATTTTTATGTGGTTAACTGTTGGCTGTAGAAAGAGAATGGAAGTAATGGATGAATTGTTCCCTGATTAATATCACAAGTACGAGACGTCATGTTGAAACTTTGGAGGACTTATTTTCGACTGATAAAAGTCAGATGAAGATGGAATTATTAATATCCAACCTACGTACGTAAATAGGAAATTGATTCTAAGAAAAAATATACTAATTCCATACACAAAAGATTGAGATTTAAATAATGGTTGACATGCCCTTAAAGTTCACATGAAGGTCTCTCGTATAGCATGTGAACAAGGGCACTAAAAATGGGAATTGGCTGGGAATTTGTTCTCTCTAATTTAAGCAAAAATACGTTGGAAATGTGAGGAACTGAAGGAAATTAATTAAAATACTAAATAATATTCATGACAAAACAATTAAAATAGGATCGCCCCTTCTTCATCAATAATTATATATGGAAAAAAAAAGGGGGAAAAAAGGATCTAATGGGCAAATTTAATCAACTTCTTCAATCTTGGGACCTGCACCACTGCCGCTCGGAGGAGGAGCATCTTCGTCCATGCCACCACCCATGTCACCACCAGCACCTTGATACATCTTGGCGATGATGGGATTGCATAGGCTTTCCAGCTCTTTCATCTTGTCCTCAAACTCGTCAGCCTCGGCGAGCTGGTTGCTGTCCAACCATTGGATGGCCTGATCAATGGCATCCTCGATTTTCTTCTTGTCATCAGCAGCCAGTTTGGAGCTGATCTTGTCGTCCTTGATGGTGTTCCTCATGTTGTAGGCGTAATTTTCCAAAGCATTCTTTGCCTCCACCTTCTTCTTGTGCTCCTCATCTTCCGACTTGTATTTCTCAGCCTCTTGGACCATCTTCTCGATGTCATCCTTCGACAACCTACCCTTGTCGTTGGTGATTGTGATCTTGTTCTTCTGTCCTGTCGTCTTGTCCTCGGCAGACACGTTCAGGATACCGTTTGCATCGATATCGAAGCACACGGTGATTTGAGGAACACCCCTGGGTGCTGGAGGAATGCCGGAGAGCTCAAATTTACCCAGCAAGTTGTTGTCCCTGGTTCTTGTCCTCTCACCCTCGTAAACTTGGATGAGCACACCAGGTTGGTTGTCGGAGTAAGTAGAGAAAACTTGCTCCTTCTTGGTGGGAATGGTGGTGTTTCTTGGGATCAAAACGGTCATGACTCCACCGGCAGTTTCCAACCCGAGTGACAAAGGAGTAACATCCAAAAGAAGGAGATCCTGCACCTTCTCATTGCCTTCGCCGCTCAAAATGGCAGCCTGAACAGCAGCACCATAAGCCACAGCCTCGTCAGGGTTGATGCTCTTGCATAGCTCCTTCCCGTTGAAGAAGTCCTGCAAGAGTTGCTGCACCTTGGGAATCCTGGTGGAACCACCAACAAGGACAACATCATGGACAGAGCTCTTGTCCATCTTAGCATCCCTCAAACACTTCTCAACAGGCTCCATACACTTCCTGAAAAGATCCATGTTCATCTCCTCAAACCTTGCACGAGTGATGGTTGAGTAGAAGTCAATACCCTCGTACAAAGAATCGATCTCAATGGTGGTCTGAGCAGTGGATGACAGAGTCCTCTTTGCCCTCTCACAAGCAGTTCTCAACCTCCTAAGAGCTCTAGGATTTCCGCTGATATCCTTCTTATTCTTCCTCTTAAATTCCTGAACAAAATGGTTCACCATCCTATTATCAAAATCCTCACCTCCAAGATGGGTATCTCCAGCAGTAGATTTCACCTCAAAAATACCCTCCTCAATAGTAAGAAGTGATACATCAAAAGTACCACCACCCAAATCAAAAATCAACACATTCTTCTCCCCAACGCTTGTCGCCTTCTTATCAAGGCCATAAGCAATAGCAGCAGCAGTGGGCTCATTTATAATACGCATAACATTCAAACCAGCAATAACACCAGCATCCTTCGTCGCCTGCCTTTGAGAGTCATTGAAGTAAGCAGGGACAGTAACCACAGCATTCTTGATAGTGACACCAAGATAAGCCTCAGCAATCTCACGCATCTTAATTAGAACCATCGAAGAAATCTCCTCCGCAGAAAACTGCTTCTCCTCACCCTTATATGTAACCACAATCATCGGCTTGTCACCCGGACCAGCAAAGACCTTGAATGGCCACAGCTTAATATCACTCTGGACAGAAGAATCAGTAAATCTCCTTCCAATCAACCTCTTTGCATCTACAATACATCACCAAACACCAATATTAATACCTAAATATCTGCTACAATATTATTAAATTAATTAACAAAACGAGAAATCATTAGCTACTCCAGCAGCACCAATGGGTCGATAGCATTTCCAAGACACATCTAATAGAAGTATTCCACACATCCTCCTAAACTAAAAATTCTAAATAAAATTAACAGACATTGATTCAAATTTACTAAGATCTAATCACAGTATTTGTTGGCTAAGCTCAAAAGAGTATAGAAATTTACTAACCGAAGACCGTGTTGATAGGGTTCATGGCGACCTGATTCTTAGCAGCATCGCCGATCAAACGCTCGGTATCAGTGAAAGCAACATAAGACGGTGTCGTCCTGTTGCCTTGATCGTTGGCTATGATTTCAACTCTGTCATGTTGCCAGACACCGACGCATGAGTAGGTGGTGCCGAGATCGATTCCGATGGCCGGTCCTTCTCCTTTTCCAGCCATTACAGAACGACTTTGAAGTAATGCGGCTGAAAATAAAAGAGAAAATTAGGTTTCGGTTTTGGTATCTCGTAAGGTGAGTGTGTGGTGCTGGAGAGGGGCGCGTATCTATATATGTTTGTGAAGTTTTTTTCTAGAATGTTCTGCAAGAAAGGGTGGATCTGGGTCGTTAATTTTGAGTTGTCGACGATTGAAAATGGAAGGAGATTTCAAATTATTGGAGGCGCTTGCGGTTTCCTCAATGGGCTGGGTTTTTTTGGGCTTGATCGAGCCGAGTGAGTTAGTTGGGTACCTAAAACGACGTCGCAGCTAGCCAGTTTGGTGTTTCGTAACTTTTAATGCAAGGGGAAAAAAGTTTGACTTGTGAATTTATAAACGGAGGGAAATGAGTCAGTATCTATTTTTATAAAATAAATTAATATCTATTTTTAAAAAAAAATAAGTTAATTATGTTTTTATAATTTGAGTTTTTAATATAATTTTTTAGTGAATTTTTACTACTAAACCATTATAAAAAATCATGTAACTTACACATGAAAATAAGATTTGTTAGCACATGGTTATAATTATTATACTATATACTAAAAGAAAATCATTTTCACTATAGCAATGAACAGTAATAATCACTGTTCATTGCTATAATGCTTTGGTTTTTTTTTTTTTTAAGTTTTTAATTTTTTCTTTTTTTTGCTAGCACACTCTGGTCTTCTTCCCCTCTCCTCCTTTTTTTATCCGCATACTCGTTCATTTAAACAATAAACGGCGTGCCCTCCTTTTCTTTTCTTTAAACACTAATTTTTTTTAAAAAAAAAAATTCGTATGTTTACTGTTCACATGAACAGTAAATGGCTAGCCTCTTTTTTTATATTTTTTTCCTAAACATTGAATTTTTTTTTAATTTTCTTTTCTTAATAATATTGGGTGTTAAAATTTTAAAGAAACAAATAATTTATTTTCTTTATTATTTATTTCTAAAATTTAAAAACACAAATAAGAAATAGTTAAATACAAATTTTTTTATTAAAAAATTATAATTATTTTTTACCATAAAAAAGATTATTAAGTCTGAAATAATTTTTCTAAATGATTTTATATATTTTATTCAACCGGTAGCGTAGCGCGAGTTAAAAATCAAGTAAAGAAAACTAAAAAAACTAGAATGTTTCAACGGTAATTATTGTTTATTTACCGTAGCTACGCACTCATCTACACTCGTGGACGAAATCTGGTTTTTTTTATTTTTCCTAATTTTTCAGACTTTCATGGGCAATAATATAAAAATTATACAACTTTTACATTTTTTTCTATGATATTTTTGAACATTTTATTTCGATCTATATCTTCATTTACTAATACATTTTGGTCCCTAGGTGTAAAAAGGAGGGAGGAAAGAAGAGAGAGACAAGGAGGGGAGAGAGAGAGAGCTTCAACCAAACTTATTCAAGCCATTTTGGCCGACAAAACTCTATTAGATTTTTTATTTTTAAGAGATGAGTTTATTCATAGTTTTTTCAATCCATCAAATAATTAAAATAGATG